GGGGGGAAAAAGTGGGGGGGGGAGGCAAAGGCTAATAAGGGAGTCTCCCTGACTCACCTTTGCCTTTTTTTTCCTACCCACTTTTTAAAGTGCCAGAGCATCTCACATATCAATGTCCCTGTGCTTCTAAATTGTGATGGGGGGCATTTTATCTAAAATTTGTTGAATGCCATTATTTCATTTTTTGGATGGTTGAAGGCACCTGATCTTTGGCCTCACAGATCACAATGTACTTTAGGCATACAATCTGTAATGTGGCAAACATTCTGATATGCCTCACTGCTGTTTTAATATACCTTGTATGGCACTTCCCTGGATTTTAGGTATTCTGTTTATTTTTTTTATACCAAATATCTCATAACACTCCATGGGTTAATTGTTTTGTTTTGGCCATTGCTTCTTAACTTAGAAATTTTAAAATTACTTGTAGAAGCCAATGAATAGCCAATACTAACTCTCTTATAGAATAATTACACGTACTGAGTATCTAATACAGAATTATATTTAGACATAACTCCCATAATGCAGACTTCACAATCTTCACTTAAATAAAGCTCTTGGTAGAGTTAAGAGGTGTTTGTGTTATATAAGAAAGCAAGAAGGAGTTACAGACATGTTATCCTATGTTCATGATGCTGCCTTTTACACTGGAAGTGGTGCCAATGCTAAAGGTGTCATTGTATGCATATTATATGAAAAGGGAACAAGGATAGTTTGCATGTAATTAAAGGCGTGTTCCTGCCCTCAGAAGAAAATATATTAAAAATAGTTTATATCATCCTAATCAAATTCTGAAAATTGTTTTATTTTAAGGAATCATCCTCCCAAAGATAGGCTTTTTGGGATTGGCATTACATTCCATTTTCAAATAATTTTGTTTTTATTACAGTTATCTCATATGGATAGGCAAAACTGCAAGCAGGTCATAGCCTAGGGACTGAATCTGCTGAATGTACAGTGTAGCAAATTTCACAAGTACTAGTTAAGGATGTGCTGCCCTAAAGCTATGATCAGTGAGTGAGTGATCACTCTCGTAATGTTTCCCATAGGCACCATGGCACTCATATATTTTTTTGTGGCTATATCATGTATTGTCTTGGGTCTATTATTTCTGAAGTTATGTGAAAGGAGTGTTTCTATAACTTATTTAAAATTAAATACATGTTCTTGTTTCAGAAAATAATTTAATCTTGCCTCATATTCAAGTTAGTTTTCCTCTCATTCTCAGCATTTATTTTCATTTTCAGTATTTATTTCAGTATTTATTTTCAGTAAATATTGTTACTGATCTCTGGTCTCCTTCACACTTCTGAAAATCCAGAGCAACTCCATCAAAGTAAGTGAAAGTTACTGTTGATTTACACTCACATAAATAAGAACAGAATTTGATAGTGTCAGTTCAAATACCACTGAACTGCTCTTGCTAAAATCAAAATAAAGAAACATGTTTTGGGTCCCTGTGCTTGCATGTACATGAGATGCTTTATTGCACATTAGACTAATCTAATGTGCAGTAAATTGTCACTGTCTACATGTACACAGCAATTACTGCACAGTAGAGTAATCTCATCTGCCACTTCCTAGTACCTATACATACTGGTCCTACAAATGGGTACATTAAAACTAATACACTGAAGTGCGTGTGTAGATGCTGACAAGGAGCAAATTGCTTCTGGTCAGCCTAGGCAGCAGGGTGCTACAGTGGGTGGAGAGAGCTGTCCTGGTTCAGTGAGATACTGCCTGCTGTGGAGAGCAGAATCTGTCCCAATCTCCACGTGGCTGAGAGGGCTGTCCTGGCTGGCAGGCAGCTGCTTGGCGGCTATGTGGAGACTGGGACCTGTTCTGATCTCCACATGGTTGGCAGATAGCTGCCTGGCAGCTGGGACAGCTCTTCCGCATGCAGCCCCTGTGCCCCATGTCAGCCTGAAGCTGGCATCTGGGGGAGCCTGGAGCTCCCCCTGGCTGTTGTAGGAGGGGAGAGAAGGGCAGGAGCAGCTCTAAATTGAACTGCTTCCTTCAGGAACAAAGTTGCTCCCAGTGGGCACACGTTCAGATGCATGTGGGTGTGCAGTTTAATGCGCTTGAATTTTCTGCACAGAAAATTCAGGTGTATTAATTTCATGTATAGACATGTGTCTTCCCCTTGCAGTGTTTTTTTTTAAATCTCAGATTTCTCTCATTTTTGTAATGCACATGGAGACTACTTGACATTTAGCTAATATTTGCTCAAAAATAGCATGATATCAATGGTGTTGTTATTCATTGTGTATTTTTCAGGAATTATTTATTTAATATCATCTCTCAACCATTTGGATCATACTGTGGTGTTTTTGAATGTTTCTGCACGGGATGGTGGTGGCCTTACCTCTGTCATTAATGCAGCCATCAAAATAAATATCCTTCAGACAACTTTGGCACCCGCTATTTTTGAGAAGTCATGGTATGCCTTTTCTGTTCCTGAAGATGTCCCTGAAGACACTCCTGTTGGAACTGTAAAGGCAAGAGTGCCTACAAGTAAGTTGTCTCCTCAGATTACATTCTCATAAATTACAGCCTTTTCTTATTGTAACCGTTATAGAGACATATGCAGATAATCTCTGGTTTTTTTAACTCTTGTGTTATTTTTTCAATATACCAAGCATACAGAATATAAAGGAAGTATGCTTAAGTTTACAACAACTGGTATTATAGCTGCTATATAAAAAAAAACCCTTTTATAACAGAGATTCCTCACCTGTGATCCCTGTACAGGTTGTCTGTAGAATTGTTACTACTTCCACTTCCATATTTCCAGTTGTTAAATGGCATTAAAGCCAGCTAAAAATACATTAAAAATATGTTCCTGATGCCACTTTTCCTTATAAGCAACAGCTTTAGTTGCCAAATGGACTTCAACTGTTAGGAGCAGGGAGGTAGGCAGAGGCGTACCAATGCAGCCAGGTGCAACACATGGGGACATCAGTAACTTCTGGCTTCTACTGTGCTGCTGGCATGATTATGGGTCTGCAGTGGCAGTATTTTTTTTGCCACCTCCCTCCCCCGCCTCTCCCCAAGTTGGCACCTGGAACAGCTGCCCAGTTGCCTAGCCTAGTTAAACTAGTAGAAGTGGGCACTACACTTGTGAATGTGCAGAGAGGAGTTGATGTGCTAAAGTGTGATCTGTGTTATGAAAAAGTCATATAAAGCCTGTACTTGAGCAGTAGTTGAGAATGAATAGAATGTGCAACAGTGTTAGACAGCTGCTTACCTCAAGAGAAAACTTTCCCAAATTAAAAGGGGAAATCCTGGTGATCTTATATCATTCTTTTGGTTAGATCCATTTTATTCTTTTTTGTTTCTTTATCATTTTTAGAGCTAAAGGGCTCAAATCCTGCTAAAGCTGAATGCTGGTGATGCAGACTTAGAAATCCTACCCAAAGTGTCCAAGCAGCATATCAGTGATGCAGCCCTATATAGAGGGACAGGAACAAGAGTTTTGTATGAATTCATTATCAACTACATCTACCCACTTTTCCCTTTAAAATGACAATATTTTGACTACAAGAGCTACCACTAGGGCCATTGTTGTGGCCCTGGAGTGATTTTGCTAACATGCCATGTCCCAGTGGGAAGAGATGGGAAAGAGACTTCAATGGAACAAATAGCAATTTCAGCCTAGGTACAGACATTCAAAAAGCCTGAGTTGGAATCAGTCTGAGTTATGTGGTTTTCTGTAAGTGGTATAGTTTAGACTGGTAGCTAATAGAACACACATTCGCCCTTTGTTGGGGCTGGAAATCTTAGATCAGGTTTCTCCATTTTTAACCCAATCTACATGGGCGCTGACAGACGTGAAAAACAAAACAAAACAGTGCTTTACTGGAAGAGGAAGCACGTTAGTTTGACCTGGCTCCCCAGTATCTGTATAGATTGAGCACTTCAGCAGCGCTTTTTTTTGGCACTTTTGTGTAATACCTGATTCAATCAGATAAAAAGCATCAAAAAGCCCTGCTGAAGCACGTGATCTATGCAGATGTTGGATGAACTGAGTCAAGCTAAGGTGATGCCTCTTTTGGGCATGCACTGTGCTTGGTGTAGGAGCGCACTGAGCTAAAAGTAAAGCACTGTTGGGTTGGGGGTTTTTTCACATTTGCAGCAGCCTGTGTGTCAATCTTCTGTTATGGGTATAGACCAGTTTCCAATCAGTTATACTAGTAAAAGTGTAATGTTTGTACCTGGCCTCTGTTATCACAGAAGTCCATTTACAGAGAAGCTCAATGAGATGCAGTTCTTTCAGAATATTGCAGTATTTCAATTCTGGTTGTAAGAAATCTCTGCTTTTAATGAACTAATTCTGTTAAATATGATTTACAGGAGATTTTCAAAATATCCTTTGTAATTAAAGGAAAACAAGAGAGCCATAACTCTCTACAAAGATTTAGCTTACAAATCAGGTGAAAATCAAACATTTTGTAAGTGAATAAACTGTATCCAGCCAGATTCAGGCTGTGTAGCATGCATTTTACTAAAGTGCTTTAGGGATATGAACAAGGAAACATAAAGAGCTCAGGAAAGAAAAGCCTCTGTAAAGAAGGTTTACATTTGTTCAGCTGATTCTAACAAGATAGATTCTTCGCAGATGTTCTATAGCGTATTTTGTTAAGCACTCAGATTTATCAGTTGCATATTTTTTTACATTGCTTGTTTTTGTGCCCATTTGTAGATTCTTTAGAAGTAATCTCTTACAGAATTTCCTCTGGTGACCCTGATGGAAGATTTTATATTGACCCACAATTTGGTATCATTCGTACCAAAAACAAGCTGGACCACGAAGCTCAGGCTGTCATGGTGCTCACAGTCCAGTCTCAGTTGGGTAGTTCTCTTGTCTACAGTAACACCCAAGTCAATATATCTGTGATTGATGTCAATGACAACCCCCCAGTATTTCTTACAGGGTCTGATAAGATAATTATATCACAGAGCACACCACCTGGCACAGCTCTGTACATTGCTCATGCAGATGATAAAGACAGTGAGCTAAATGGCCTAGTCAAATATAATATTGCAAGCAAGCAGTCAAATACATTTAACATTGATCCAAGCCTTGGGGTGGTGTACCTCACAAGAAACCTGTCTGCAGATAAGCAAAAGGAGTACACTCTGCCCATAGCAGCTGAAGACCATGGAAGTCCTCCTTTGATTTCTCTTTTAACACTGACAGTGATTGTTGAAGAGCAAAAGATGAGCTCAATTTTGACTTTTGAAAACTTGATATATCAAGTGGAAATCAGTGAGAGCTCTTCCCTAGATACCAAAATTCTCCAAGTTCAAGCCCATGCACTAGATCCAGAGCACACTGCCTTCACGATGGTGTATTCCCTAGAGCCTAGCACAGACTCTGCTGCATTTCGAATCAACCCTGAAACTGGCTGGATTTACCTCCGGAAACATCTAAACTATGAATCTACACAGATGTACAGTTTTAGAGCCCTTGTCAGCAGCCCAGAGGACAGCTCAAGGCAAAATGCAAGCACATCCGTGATAGTTAATGTTGTAGATGAAAATGACAATTCCCCCATGTTCTTGCATGATATCTATTTTTTGGAAATTGAGGAAAGTCCAGTTCCCCGAGGGGTGGTTGGCATCTTCACAGCGATTGACAGAGACTCTGGAAGAAATGGACAACTTTCCTATTTCCTCTTGTCTGACGGAAAATATTTTAAAATTAATTCCAATACAGGTAACACTTCATTATTTATAATCTCCCTACTATTTCTTTTGGAAGAAAGCATTTTGGTAAGGGAATAATGTGTAAAGTCTAGAACAGTGGTTCCCAAACATTTTCTTATTTCATACTTCCTTCCAGATGTACCAGCTGCCCACCTACCCCTACCAGCATACAGTTTATATTTTAACCCCTTAAATGCCCATTATTATTATAATGAAAATTAAATCTGCCATTATGCCATTTGGGACCCCCTGGAATAGAAAGTGTTGTGGATTTCTTGGGTTGGTGTATATGTATCCTAATTTAAAGCCTTAAAATGTATCATATCAGGGATGACTTGCCCTCGGTGAATCCATGACGATATGAGCTTCAGGCCCCTACCCACTGGACCACCCTCTATTTAGCACAGTCACCTAAACCATAGACAACTCATCCTGCTCTCTAGGGTCCAAGAAAATAAACGGCGAACCTAAATATCTTACTGGGTTGATCTCTATTTTTCTACAAAAAGCATTGCACCCCATGTTCTGGCACTTCTGCTCCTGTTAAGGACCAGAGAAAATCAACACAGAAAAGTGTATGTAATGGGGGCAGAGGTAATGAACATATTCCTCTCCTACACGGAGGTGACACCATAACCTCTTGGAGGTATGTGGGAAGGGGCAGAAGTGGATGAAACCGGCAGAAAACTCCATTCTACAATGGTAGATATGCCAAATGATTGAGATATTACTGTAGGATGTGGGGAGACTCAGGTTCAAGTCCGTGCCATGTCTGATTCATTCCAGCGATTTGAACCTCAGCCCCTTATAAACCAAAGGTGTAATTCATCTACCAAGGGATCCTATCCTAAGTAATACTGTTTCATTAGCAAATTCCAGACCAGTTCTGGATGTGACATGCTTCAACAAGCAGATAACAAAAGAGCTATAGAAAAGTTAATATTTTTACTAGAAATATTACTCGTTAAGAGTCTGAGCTGGCAAGAAGTGTCCAGTGTCTCTGGATACGGGTGGTTAGCTATGCTCGGGAAACACTCAGTACCTTTTAGGGTCAGCCATTAAAAGTATGCACCTGAGCAGCCAGCAAAAGGTGTACTAAGTGTTTCCATGAAGGGAAGTCCCACTTGTCTATTTTTCTATATATAAAAAGGGAAAGTTAATGAATGAAATGTAAGAGCCCTGACTATACTACCGCGCTGAGCTGTCATTCCTGTAACTCTCCCA